TCTCTCTCTCTCTCTCTCTCTCTCTCTCTCTCTCTCTCTCTCTCTCTTACAATACTTATAAAGCATTTTATTGTTTCTCACAGGTTAGGGGAAATATTGTTTATCAGTAACAGAAAAATCCTTACTTAACAAAACAAGTGAAAAGCACCAAGGAATCTGTCAACAACTCTGATGAATTCCAGTGTTATTAAGTTACAGTTTTTAAACTATACTGTAATGTAGTACTCAAAGCTTTCATAAATACCAAATCCAGTAACTCCTGAAAAGAAATATGGAATTCTTCACGAATTTGTGTGTCATCCTTGCACAGGGGCCATGCTAATCTTCTCTGTTTCGTTCCAATTTTGGTGTATGTGCTGCCGAAGCGAGCACCCTCTGTTCTCTTTCTGATGACAGGTAAATAAGAATAAGAATCAATGGGAGAAGGAAACCAAACTTCTGTGTTTGAATTTGTCTTGTTGGGACTGTCACAGGATCCACAGATCCAAATCTTGTTGTTCTGTGTTTTCCTGATCATCTACCTTCTTTCCATATTTGGAAATCTGCTGATAATACTCCTCATCCAAGTTGACTCTCAACTTCACACACCCATGTACTTTTTTCTCAAAAACTTATCTTTTGCTGACCTCTGTTTCTCTACAAGCATCGTACCCCAGATGTTGGTTCACTTCCTTGTGAAAAAGAAAACCATTTCCTTTACTGGATGCTCAATACAGATAGCGGTCTTCCTCCTTGCAGGGTGTACAGAGTGTGCACTGCTGGCAGTGATGTCCTATGACCGGTATGTGGCTGTCTGCAAGCCCCTGCACTATTCCACCATTATGACCCAGAAGGCTTGTGTCCAGCTGGCCACAGTGTCCTGGATAAGTGGGGCAGTTGTATGTTCAGTGGACAGTGCGTTTACACTGTATCTCCCCTACCAGGGACGGAATGTCATTAATCACTACTTCTGTGAACCACCTGCTCTCCTAAAGGTGGCATCTGGGGACACCTACAATGCTGAGATAGCTCTCTTTTCAATGGGGGTGATTATCCTCCTAGCTCCTGTCTCCCTCATCCTTATCTCCTACTGGCATATCATCTCCACTGTGATCCGGATGCAGTCTGGGGAGGGGAGGCTCAAGGTCTTCTCCACCTGTGGCTCCCACCTCACCGTTGTGGTTCTCTACTACGGCTCTGGAATATTTGCCTACATGAGACCAAATTCCAAGACGATGAATGAAAAAGATAAGGTCATCTCTGTGTTCTATTCAGTCATGACTTCCATGTTGAACCCCATCATTTACAGCCTTAGGAACAAGGACGTTAAGGGGGCTCTCAGGAAGCTGGCTGGAAGATAGTATGCCTCAGAGGCAGTGAGTTCTGAAATCTGAAAAATGTATTTGAACATTTTGATTGACAACATGGTTCTGACATCCTCATCCTTTCCTTCCCTTGCTTCATTTCTCAGCTTATTTGCTTCTATATTCATTAAATGACTTCTCTATGCAAGCACTGTGCCTACATCCACGAGATGAGTAAAACTCAGTGCTTTCCTCAAAAGATGTGGCAATCCACTAACAAGAGATCATAAACATAGAGATAACCATTTTAAAATTTCAATGAGAGGGACTATTTTTAGAAAGGGTTAAAAAAAACACTGTGTAGACCCAAAGTGAAGGCAATAGCTTATTTGAAGATCAGAAATACTTTATGTAGATGTCTCTACTGAAATGATAATTGATTTATTAGTAGGATATACAATTTCAACAAGTATCAATGGTCCGAAAAGATACCTAAGAGACACTATATCATGAACAAAAACAAAGATGGCCAGAGAGGGTACATTAAAATCAGGAATATATGTCAAGAAATAAAGCTTAGTAATGATATTGTCACAGGATTAGCTAGCTTTATATTATTCTGTAGAGGGTTTTATGCACATGATGAACCAGTTTGCCCTATAGGAAGTCTTGCCATATAGAAATGATCTGGTTATGCCTTTGCTTAGGAGCTTAATTCTGAAAGACAGTAACAGAGTGAAATATTGTGCTTGGCAGTTTGTGTGATCACAGTACCAAAGTTAGTCAAAGGACTTATGGTCTAGATATTATCTCAGAGGTTATGAGTCTATGATATTTAATATCTGAAATAATTTTTATCTTGTCTTTCTTTTAATTTCAATTATGAAGGGAATCTTATTGTTCAAAATATACAATCATGTTCTGCTTTAATCAGTAATTCTCTCAACCAACACATATTTACTGAGCTTCCTGTACTGAAATGCCTAGGAAGTTGGTAGTATTTAATAATTGTTAGTATTTAATTACTACTTGTGCATTCTGATAATTTGTAACTTTGTCTGTGGAAACATTTAAATTGAAAGATATTTTAATAGCTATCTGACAGTATGATAGGCACTAAAAAATTGTGATGTCAATTAAGCATGAATAGCTCAGTCTTAAAGAGTAGAATTTTCTGGCCAGGCACAGTGATGCAGACCTGTCATACCAGCGGCTTGGGAGGCTGAGACAGGAGGATCACAAGTTCAAAGCCAGCCTCAGCAATGGCAAGGCACTAAACAACTCAGTGAGACCCTATCTCTAAACAAAATACCAAATAGGGCTGGGGATGTGGCTCTGTGGTCGAATGCCACTGAGTTCAATCCCTGATAACACCAAAAACAAAACAAAAAAAATCATGAACAGATATATTAGGAAAAGTGTCAGAACACACCCAAAATGGATTAATTCTTCTAAATTGTCATTGTGAGGGGCTAATGGTGACACCAGTAAGAAGAATCAGGACAAATAATAGCCTAGGTAGATAGGAATGGGAGAGAAAAGCATACCTCAGACAGGTGGAGAAAATGTGTGGGGTAAATGAGGCATGGAAGAAAAAGTTCTTTAGCATAGCACAAGAAGCTTTCTTTGAGCAAAGATCAATAAGCAAAAATTACAACACTGTGAGGAAAGGTATGTATCACTTAACTTGATTTAACTGTTGCATAATGTGCACATATTTTAAAACATCATAGTATACATGATGAATGTCTATGATTTTATTTGTTAATTTAAATAAATAAAACATAAGCATGTTACTTTTTTAAAGAATCAATATCATATAATTTGATTAAGCAGTTCTGATCCTAGGAATCCACTTTACAAATGTGCATGAAAAGATTGTGGAGGAAGAGCAAGACGCTGGTATGATTCTCCAGGGTTTTTTTTCTCCACAGAAACATCAATTTGCACAGCTGTTCGTGCACCAAACTACTTTCACTACAGCACAGTACCTCATTTTAACATAATAATTAAAAAAGATACAGAAAAGAGATCTCCCTTCAACTACAACAACACTATGTGGAGAGATGTGTCCTGCTTGGGAGATAGTAAGGGAATTAAGAAAGGGCTTCACCTGATGCTGATTGCAGAGGTCTCAGGCCTTGGGTGTCCTGTAGCAGCAGGCAGGCATGGACCTTGATCTTGCTTTGTTGCTGGACTGAATTTGGCAATCTATGAGCTCCAGGTATGACCCAGCATTGTGGAATTGGTTGCCATGGGACTGTCCATTTCATATCTCCCCCAACCTTTGGAAGAATAATATAGACAGAATTTTCCACTTGGGGAAGAAAAGGGTGTGGGTACCCAGTTACTGCCTAGGAGTCTGAGATTAGTCTCTCCATGATAAGGCTCAGAGTCAGGCTGAATCCCATAGCCTGTAAACACAGGCCAGTCACTACAGAAGAGGTATCTGAGTCACTCGAGGGCACTGCAAGAAAACAAAATTACAGGCCAATGTGATGAACATAGATGCCAAAATTCTCAAAAAATAATAGCAAATAAAATTGAGCAAAACATGAAAAAGGTTGTTCACCATTATTAAGCATCATTTATCTCAAAAATGCAATGATGATGGTTCTACACATACAAATTAGTAAGTGTGATAAGCAAAATTTAAAGAATGAAAGACAAAAACTAGCTGTTGGTCTCAATAGACATGTAAGAATCATTGAAAAATATTCAATATATCTTCCTGATAGTCTAGTGAATTAGGTATAGAAAGAACATACCTTAACATAATAAAGGCTAAATGAGATAAGCACTTAATTAACATCATTATCCATGAGGAAAGTTCAAAGAAATTATTTTACAATGAGAAACAAGACGGGGATGCCTTGTTTTGAGATTTCTATTCAACCTAATACTGGAAGTCGTGGCCACAGTACCATGCGAGAGAAAGAAATGAAATGCACCCAAATCAGAAAGGAACAAGTAAACTTGTCTCTGCAGATAACATGAACTTATATACAGACTAGATAAAAGTATTTGCCAACCATATATCTAAAAAGAGCTAATATCCAAAATATCCTAAGAACTCAGTAACAAGTAAACAACCCAAGTAAAACATGCCCAAAGAACCTGAGGAGACATTTATACAAAGATGATATTCAAATGGCTAAGAGGTCTATAAAAAATGTTGAACATCAGTAATCACCAAGAAAATACAAATAACCCAATGAGGTATCACCTCCCACCTTTTAGCATGGCTATTTCAAAAATATGAAAGATAACAAGTGCTATATCAAGAATGTAGGGAAAGGAAATTTTGCACATTGCTGATGGAAATGCAAATTAGTACAGACACTGTGGAAAGCAGCATGGAATCTCCTCAGAAAATTGAAAATAGAATTCCCATATAATCTGGCAATTTCATGATGGAGACATATCCAGAGGATATGAAATCATTATAGCAAAGAGAAATCCCACACTCCCAGATTCATTACAGCATTATTCACAGTTGCCCAGATATGAAAACAACATAAGTGTTCATCAATGGATGACTAAATCAAGAAAATCTGGTGTAAATAAACAATGACAACCTTAGGAAAGAATGAAATTTTGTCCTTTACCACCACCTGGATGAACTTGGAAGACGTTAAGTAAGATAAAAAACAACACTGTGTGGACTCACTTTCATGTGAAATTTAACATAGTCAAACACAAAAAGGGAAGGCAAAATGGTCGTTACCAGGGAGATGCTGATCACAGAATACAAACTTCAAGTTAGACACAAGGGGAAGTTCATGAAATCCGTTGCACATCATGGTGATTATAGTAGCGACAACAGTAATATATGTGTAGTTGAAAATTGCTGAAGAAGTATATTTTAACTGTTCTTATCACAATAGTGCAAATATATGAGGTAAAACACGTATTAGCTTGATTTAGCAATTTCACAATGTATTCAAATATCAAGACACTATATTGGACACCAAAAATAGATAAAATTTTTGCTGATAAAAATAAAAATAAATAAAATGTGCAAGTGTTCACTTTTTAAAAAATACAATAAAGTAAGATTAAATTTTTTGGAGACTGTTTATTCATCCATAATAGCCAACACAGTTTAAGCACGATTTAGCCAGGCTAAGGTCTAAATGCCTGGCATTTATTATCTTATTCCATTTACCCAATAACATCAAGACTGCAGGCCTGTATTTATCACCACTTTTAAGTTGAGTACATGGAGATACAAAGGGTTTAATTCAGTTTCCTATTGTGCACTGAGGATAAAAAGGGAGCCAGGGATTCAAACTGAGGTGCTCTTTTCCTCTTCCTCTCTGTCATTACTCTAAAATATACCCTCATACAAAGGAAGAAAATTCACTAAGCTTTAAATGACGAAAGGAATTGTCAGTTACATATAAATTCAGTCAAATACAGTATGCATAATAAAAACACAACAGAACAATTATACAGGTGATTTTTGCTTCTGTCTAAATTTCTGAATTTTTTCATTATAAAGAACTCACATCAGTCAGTTTTAGGTGTTATATTATGGCTTATCTAAATAGATTAAATAATTTACAATTATTTTTAGAAAGAAAACAAGAACTTCCAAGCTCTCACAAACACTGTTCCCAACCATAATAATCTTTACATAGGTGAGGTATTTTAGAGCTTCTGCATGCAACAAATTCAAGTTCCTACATTTTCTTATAAATCTTGCCATGACACTAAATATGATAAAAGAAAGCATGTTTAGGTTAGCTAGAGAGTGAGATATATATATATATATATATATATATATATATATATATATATATATATATTTATGCCTCCTGTCCAGTGGACAGAGACATCATATACATTCACTTCAAGGATTTCATCTCCTTGCAGCTATTTCAATGCTCCAAAACACATATGTGTATCTGCATTTAACAAAATTCAAAGAAAATATATACCATAGACTTATCTCACTGTTATTGTACACTATTCTGTTTAAACTTGGGTGCTTTCAATTCTATTCCTTTAATTTTAATCTTAGGCACTGTAAAAATGCCCCCAACATCAAAAAG